AATATAAGATGTCTATGTGCTGAGCTGGCGTGGCCAGGCAGGTGTGTGCAGCCTAAGTGCGGAGAATTCCACTTACATAAAACTAGCATAGGAGCTGGCTGTGGTGGCATATTCAGGGAGGCAGAGGCAGATCTCTGTGAGTTTGAGGCCAGCCTGGTCTACAAAGTGAGTCCAGGACAGCCAAGGCTGCACAGAGAAAAATCAAAAGCAAAACAAAACAAAAAACCAGGATAGGAATGGCATGCCATGAGGCAGCCCGGATCCTGGGAGTTTCATTTTCTACCTCCTAGTTCTCTTGACCAAAGTGCATGCCAAAATCCCATTGGTTTAATTCAGACATCACTGAGGTGCATCGATAAACCATCAGACTAACTGCGGCCCCAGCGGAGGACCGGTGCCTGCCCCTAACAATGCAGCTAAGGTAGAAGGCCGACAAGGGCGTGGGCCAGCAGACGTACCCAAGCAGCAGCTGGATGAGCAGCCTCGGCACATGCTGTGGCAACTCAGAACTCTTTCTCATCCGACGGAAAGAACGGGAAGCAGTGGGACCAGGAGACGGCTGTCCCAGCAGCCGCTGCCTGAAGATGACTGACAGGCGCATTGAAAGCACACTGCCCTGTGCGGCTGAATAGTGCAGCCCCAGAGACATGGTGCGTGTGTGTGTGTCCCAGGACAGGGCTGAGTGGCTATCAAATTGCCAAATGCTGAAATGGCAGACAGATGGACTGCCGCAGACACTTCTGGCATCTCTACTTCCGGATTCTGACAGACCAGCATTTGTCTATCTTCTGCAAAGCAGAAGTAAGGTGGATGACCATATCCTTGCATGAATGGGGTTCCGGGACCCTGACTAGGGGCAACAAGGAAATGGAGAACACACAGACACACAGACACATGGACAGACAGACACAGAAAAGCTGAGGTCGGCTTGGCTGTACTCACTCTGACGGAGCAGCTGCAGCACCCTGGAAGCTTAGCATGTGTGTTATAGACAGCTGGGCAGGGAGGGGTACTATCACATGCAAAGTAGCAGGGATACAATTGAACAAGGAGGCAGGCTTAGCTAATTCCAGGATGAACAGCCCTTGCAGGGGAGCAGTCTTCAGAGTGCAAACATCCGCAGGGGAAAAGTTCTGGTGAACAGTTTTTGCCTGCACTTTTGGCATCTACATGTGGACCAGAAGGGTTTCGAGTCACTCTGTTCTTGGCCTTGAGAGCTCATTGGCTTTGCCATCCCTCCAACGTCAGCTGAGGAAGGCTCTGCCACGCGCATGGGTCTGCAGGCTTGGGGCTCTTGACGAGGCCATTCTCAGGTCAAAAACACACGATCCCTCTGATTTCACATGGTCCCTAGAGTGGGCTACACTTCTAGCAGCTTCTCACCCTGAGGCCTGCATCACAGTGCACGGATATCAGGCACCACCGAGCAGGACCAGCTCCAGGCGTCTCTCACAAAACCGAGAACTGCCAGCAGTCTAGAAACTGCTGCCAGTCAGATCAGCAAGTCTTTAAAATGAAGCGAAACGAGGGCCATGTAACACCCTACACCCCAGTACTAGCAGCATGGCACCCAGAAGCTTCTTTTCATTCTCCAACCCCACTCCACTCCAGCCTCAGTAAGATGGACAGAGGAGTGTTTCCGCCTTGCTCTGGAATAGCCTTCCCTACACCGAGGAAGCGATGGCTCCCGCTAGAATGAGTGATGGTGAACACTACAGAACGTTGTCTTGTCGCAGCTATGGCATGAGGCAGAGTGGAAAGGGTAGGCACAATCATAGAGAAACCATCTGTGGAAGGTGTAAGTATGACGGAAGAACAGCCATGATTTCAGGATGCCAGGGTTACAAACTTATTCTGGTTACTGCCAACCTCAGTCAATGACATCAGCCATCATTTCTGAGTAAGGAACAAAGCACCCAGAACTTTTATGGTTGGCCAGCTGAGAAGAGAGGGGCCAGGAAGCTCATGGCAGCAAGATCACATCCAGTGAAAGGGTGGGACCCTGGGTACCACTGGCACCATATAGAGTCCGGCTTTCCACACTGCCTGGCTTCCCAGCCCACCGACTCTCATTTATTTTCCACTGGCTTCGTTAGATCACAGCGGAGGAATCCCAGCTACCGTGTAGGCCCTGCGCAGTTTGTAAGATGCACTAAGTCCTACCTGGGGAGCCTTGGCGAGGAGCAGAGCAACTTCAGGATTATTGTGGCAGCGGGCACACTCCAGCGGGGTCTGGCCTGCCTGAGGAAAGACACGGGGAAGACAGGTGACATGGGGACAGCAGGGGTGGGCCGTTACACTCCTCCCCACACTCAGGCCTCAGCTCCTCAGTAAGGCTCATTAAGGCTCTTAGGCACAGAGGGCAGGAAAGGAGGTGGGCATTCTTGTTGAGCAGCACAAAGATCAGAAAATCCACCTAGCGTGACTTCTCCAACAGGAACAGCCTCAGCACAGGCTACAGCCACCCTGTAGGTTGTAAGATTAAAAGCCAGAAGAGTGTGTCTTGGCCATTGTAGAGAGCACCAGACAGGTTCAGTGTTCTGATGGAGGAAGAAGATGGGGTGGGGGCAGGGTGAGCTGCACACAGAGATGAAGAATACTAGCTTCGGTAACCTGGGCCCCTTGCAGGAAAAAGGGTGCCCAGCTATGAGAAGTGATCAAGCATACTGAAAAAGGAAGAATGGAGGGCAGAGTCTTGGAGAGACACTCGTGGTGTTCTGGGCTCATCAGCTGATCAGGAGGCCATCTTGAGGCCCACAGGATAGCTTGCTAAGAACCCCTTAGAACTCTCCTCTTGCCAGACTACGCTCACCCAGTGTCTAAAAGAGTCGTTTAGATTGCACTCAGAGTTGGCACAATCCAGATGAGCACCACCCTGGGGGCTATGATTTAGGGACCCTGGGGGGGGGGGCGTGTCTTCGGTAAAGCTCACTGGATCCTCAGGGGCTGCTAGTCTGTGGAACCCAACGCTGTGGCTCCGCTTACGTTGTTGATAATGGCCGTGTCAGCACCAGCTTCCAGCAGGACTTTAACCACCTTCTTGTGATTTAGGGCAGCAGCCACATGGAGGGCCGTGTCTCCAGCCTGCAAGCAGCCAGAAGATAGCTTTCTCAACACACCGATTGGCCCTGGGCTGGCGACACATCTCTGCCTGGGGTGTTCTTCAAATCCAAACAAGACTTGTCACACAAACATGAAGCCCTCCCAGCAATGCATTCATCACATACACCTTCCTGCCTGAGGAGTCCGGAAGCCACAAACCAGGGCTACATATGTAGGGTGAAGAGGACCAGTTGGGGTGCTGAGAACAGAGGGCCTCAAAGCCTTCAGGAGACAGGCTGGTTGCCCAAGACTGGGTCACCCAGAGCTCTGCATCCTGTGAATCAGCCCAGGAGGTCATAGTTAGAAGCGCTTGGCTTCTGAGGAAAAGCTGAGCAGAGGGCTGTGCCTGCCCCTCAGCCAACTGAGACCAGGAACCAGGGACCCTGCAGCTCAGGTGGGGACACCAAGGCCCAGGCTCTGGTTAGGGCTCTCTGCATTTCCACCTTTCTCTTCATACAGGTGTTCCCAGATGATCAGCCCTGAAGGGCGGCAGTCCCCACAGATGGGCTGACATTTCCACTGGGAATGGCAGATGTGGGCCACAGAAACACGAGGGAAGTGAGACCATTCCATCCTCCTCTACCAGAGCAGACAACGAGCCTCAGTGTTCATTTATGGGCAGTGTGAAATCTGTCTTTGAGTGAAGACAAATGTCTATTTCACCTACATCATTTAGTCCTGTGTGTTGGGGAAGCTCTGGGAAGCGACAGTGCCGAGGTCCCACTCCCAAACCCAATTTCCCCCAGGTACAGCATGGCTTGGATGTGGGATTTCTGAGGGTTGGGGATGGGATGGGAGCTGCTAAGGCTTGTGGGTAGGGACTGAGAGGCGGGAGCCTGACTGAGCCGAAAGCAGCTGGGGAGGTTAATGCATACCCTCTGGAGAGAGATTTGAAAGGTATTCTGTTGAACCCAAAGCACAGAGATTTGGGTTCTTTTACATGCTGGGACCAGAACAATATCTTACTGTCCCTGATGGCTGTTAGAAGCAGCTGGAGAAGGTCAAAGTAAGTACGTTGTGTTTTTTTTTTTTTTTATTTAATATGCATTGGTGTCAGATCCCCTAGAACTAGAATTACAGACAGTTGTGAGTTGCCATGTGGTTGCTGGGAATTGAACCCAGATCCTCTGGAAGGGCACCCAGTGCTTTAACTGCTGAGCCATCTCTCCAGCCCAGTAAGTATGTTTAATCTGGCCCACAGTCTAATTTTAAATCCAGGTTTATAAACCCAGCCTCTCCCTCAAAGGCAAAGAACACATTATCTAGAAACCAATAACACCAAGACAATCAATTTTCTTTACCCAAATGACTACTGAAAGCCATGTCCATTCCATGCTGTATTGTTCACAGCTTCGTTATAGACTCCTACCACACTGCACAGATGCGAGGGTCATGCCCAGTTTCAAAGAAACAAGAGGCTCAGCGGCTCACAGGGAAGTGGCAGTGTAGGGAATGGAGCAGCAGAATTCATGGAACACCTAGCTCCCTTGCTTCTTTTCTACACCACACTCCTTTCTGTAGGCTTTCCTAATAAAATCCCAGAATAAGCAAAAGTCATGGCAAGCTGTCCTCAAAATGTCCACTATGTCACTGTGGTGCTGTGCAGAGGGATGGTGAGGATGCGTGTCCAAGGGTGCAGGCAGCCAGATAAGTCAAGGCCACTGCAACAGGTACCGGTGGAGTCCCAGACAAGTCAGAGGGTAACATTTCCCAGCAGCCCCTACTCCTGTGTGCACCCCACTGTGTGCACTGACCTGGTTCTTTTCGTGAACAGAACAGAAAGCACTGAGGAGAACTCTAATGATGGACAGGTGATTATACCGCGCAGCCACGTGCAAACAGGTGTCCCCTGCCTGTGGACGGAAATCAAGCTCTTAGCACAGTCAGCAGTCACAAAGCACAACAACAGAAAACGTCATCACTTAAAAGCTAGCAGGCAGCTGTATGCTGTAGGGAGGGCTCACTCTAAGCTGCTCCCTCAACATCTTCAATGCCACGAACCTTTGCTTTGCTTTAGTGCGCATGACACTAGATGCCTGCTTCCCACGAGCACTAATGGCTACTGTGGATGATAAGGCTCTGTGGACACTGACCTCCCCACAACTCAAAGTGTCTGGATTAAGCAAAGTTAAAACAACCCTGTTGCTTTGGAAATGAGTTTCCCAGCAAAGACCCATCACAGCTGGAAGCCTGCTATCATCCTCTATGGAGGATACAGCCTAGGTTGCTGATGAATCAGAAAAATTCAGACTCCATCACAACACGCTGCCGGCTCCTGCTTGTGTTTGCCTTCTGTCTAGACCATGGCCATTTAGCACAGCTGTCTCCTTTGGACTAAGAAAGAGCCAAGGCTAGGGCTCAGAGACTTCTAGAACCATATAAATCTGCCTCCAAACAGGGAGGTGTTGGCTTAAGCCACAGGCTTTCGGCAGAAAACACAGGAGGAAGGATGTTCTCAAGCCCCACTGCCCTGCCTACTCTCGGGAAGGGCACTGCTCAACTTTGAAGAGGCGAGGTACTGAGTGCCACAGAACAGCCCGGCCTGGTACTGTCTCACCACAATGTAACACTTTATGTGGGTGTACATTCTTAAAGCATTATGTCAGAGGTTCTCAATCTTCCTAGGGCTGTGACCCATTAATACAGTTCCTCGTGTTGTAGTGACCCCAACCATAAATTGTTTTTGTTGCTACTTCATAACTGTAATTTTGCTACTGTTACAAATCATCATGTAAATATTTTTGGAGACAGAGCAACCCACAGGTTGAGGATTGCTCATTTATGGGCTCTCTAGTCCCGAAAGACATATAATAAAGAACTGATGAGGCAAACTTGACGCCTAAGTGCAGAAAGCGGCATTTTCTAGGCGACCCTTGGAAAGTTAGCACAATCTTAGAGATTAGGCCCCAGACGCCCTGGCACTCTGGCTTCTAGCTCTTCACGCTGCATCCGAGTTGGTTATATAAAAAGCGCCTGTGAGAAGCTGGTACTTTCACCCACATTATTTTTGAGGTCAGCCCGGGAGCCGCCCAGCAGGAGGACGCGTGTGCTCTGGGAATGACTGTTCTGGCAGGCCAGGTGCAGAGCCGTGTTCCCTGCCTTGAGAGAGAGAAGGCAGAGAGAAGGGAGAACGCATTAGCATGTGTCTGCACAGACCCACAGGGAACAGCAGAACACCTCCTCAGCGAGAGGCAGCCGTTGCCACCGTCTGCTCAACAGGGATTGCCGCTGGTGTTTCAGATACAAGAACTGTAAATGCAAAGGGCAAGCGAGCTGCAGTCGCCTCTGTCCCCACGCTTTGGCTCTGAGCCCTGCCTCTGCCCCTCATGAGTTACAGCCATCCAGAAAAGCACTCCACGTGCTTAGCTGTAACTTCTTTACCTCCCTCCTGAGATCCCGAGCAGGTGTCATTGGTCCTTGTACTTTCTGAACCACAAGCATGTGCGCAGCGTTCAGAGACAACTCTCTACCCATTGAGGGCAGTAGCCACACTAAGGACGCTTCCCAGAAGCAGGCCTGATCTGGAGGCCTGCTCTTCAGTGTTCCTGAAGATGTATTTATCACTCATGCAGTGCTCTGCCTGCACACCAGATCTCACTATAAATGGTTATGAGCTACCATGTGGTTGCTGGGAATTGAACCCAGGACCTATGGAAGAACAGCCAGTCTTCTTAACCTCTAAGCCATCTCTCCAGCCCTCTTCAATGTTTTCAAACAAACACTTGAATTATGAAAAAAAAAAAATGTTGACCTAAGAGGCAATACTGTTGCTTCCTGAACTTAAACACCACCCCAAAAGCATATCTACAATAATTTTGCAAAAGCCATGGTGTAAACAGAACTCTGTGATTCCGGGACAAGGTCCTAAGAGCTGCTGATAACCCCCAGAAAAGCAGTTTCTCTTCATTTAATGAGAAAGTGGGTGAGGTATTCCCAGCACACAGGCAAATAATTGCAGGCTTGGCGCTTTGTTCTGCTGAGCTTAAGAGCTGCGGTCGCGCCTGCCCGTAGCTCTGTGCGTCCTCTCCTCTTGCCTGCTCTCCTATAGACCTCACAGCACTGTCCTCAGAAACTCTAGGCATTAGATTCCTTTTGAAAAACAATACTCATTTGAACAACAAGCAAATAATAAGTCAAATGAAAACTGGCATCACCCGTGCTTCTCCTAACTGAGGCTCCAGTCAGCCTTGCCTGGGCATCCTCACTAGGGCTGAGGAGGAAGTGGCCCGCTGAGGTGGGCGGTGTCAGCCCTCTCTGGGAACTCTTGCTGCATGCCAGAAGCGTCCAGGATACTCTCAAGCTCCACCAGTGCAAGCCTGTGGCCTGTTCTCCACTCTGATTTCCTCAGCTTGTTGGGTAAGGCCCGGCATGCAGGCCAAGTCTCACATTCTGAGAAATTTGTTTACCAGGCCTGGCTCGGGGGTGGATCTTTGTTGTTGTTGTTGTTCGTTTGTTTTAGGTTTTAATTGTCCTACAACCTAAGGTGCAGCCAGGCTGAGAACCTCGCAAGGTTAGCTCTCCGTAAGCAAGGCTGATGCCTTAAATACTCTTGATCTCGGAGCTGTTGACTTCAAGGCAGTAGTTAAATATGTGCTGAGAAAAATGAGTGAAATAAAAGAAGCTGGAAGATTCTAGAAATATAGCATATTAAAGTTTATTTTTGCCACTAAAAAATATCGATTATGCCCTGGCACAGGACCCAGGTTCAACTTCCAGCACCCACCAACAGCTCACAGCCATCGGTAATTCCAGTCAGTTCCAAGAGATCTAAGGCCTTTGTCTGGCCTCTGCAGCTATCAGGCACACATTTGGTGTGCAAACACGCATGCAAAACACTCACACACACAAAGTAAAATAAATATAAAGTAAAATAAATAAATAAAAAGAACAAAGATAAAGAGAAGGAAGGATGGAAAAGGAGAGGAAGGCTGTTTGCAGAGGAGGAGGGAGGGAGGGACGGAGGAGGAAAGACAGACTCTGTAGGACTGGATCATCCAGTGCACCCATAGAGTGCAGCACTAGTCAGCAATAAAATGGACTGAAGGAGCCATAGGTCTAACAACATGGAGGAAGCCCAAACGTTGAGAGAAACAAACACTATTTTTGAAAGGGTGACACAGAGGTGTGGTTGCTAGGGGCTTGGAGGGCTTGGCTAGGGGACTCCCACCAAAGGGTACAGAAGAACTTTTCTGAAGTGACGGAATATTCTGTTTGTGGTGGCAATTACACAACCACATACACTGGTTCAAGCTCATGAGACATGGCTCACTCCTAAAAAACAAGACTTTCTGTAAGCCCACCTCCAAAGCTGCCATGAAAAATGTGGCCTGCAGTATATGTGCGACGACCCCCTGCCCCCAGTAATGCGTTCTGACTCTCCGACACGGTGCTGTGTTTGCTAAATATGAAAGACTGTGGAAGATCCCTCAGAGGCTGTTTGCAGAAGCTGCTTCACAAATCACGATGACTCTCAGGAGGTATAAAGTCCGGAGCACGCACCATCTTGGAGAAGCGGAACAGCCCCACCTGAGAGAACTCGGGCAAGCATAGCTGCCACAGCACCACACAGGCTCCAAGAGGGAACCGCGAGAAGCCTGACCACAAAGCTGCCTACGGAGGGCTGCACCGCAGCCCAGCGAGCCTGCGCTAGACAGCTGTAGGCGAGGAAATACAGGCTCCAGGAGGCCTCTGGAGACCCACTCAAGTGTAGGGGCCATGTGCTTGGAGACTTGAGAACACAGCAGGCTGGGAGGCATCTGGGCAGAGGAACAGCAGGATGGGAAGGCAGCAAGCTCAAGCCAGCCACTCAACTGTGAGGCTTGTGGGCTAATCCAGGAGCAGTCATGAGATGAGCACGAAAAGAGAAAGGAAGGTGGGAGACATGGAGACGAGCTCAGAGAGGCCGTCCATACGAAAATGAGGGAGAGAAGCAACGTTGCCTCCGCCCATATGAGGGCTAGAGCATCTTGCTTTACCTCACTCCAGAAAGCCAATATCAGGGCAGTGAGAACCAAGAGATATCAGAGGTCAAAGCAACCGAAGCAGGTCGTCTGGGCCTTACAATACTCCTCCCTGCTGAGCCCAGCCAATCTCATTTAAGGCAGCGCAGCGGGTGAGGCCCGGAAGTCATGCCTTCCATGGAGACTATTTCTGGTCAGCCGATTAGTATTCGAGCTTGTGCGTGGAACTGTTATTGAAGAGCTTGTGTGGTGATGTGTCTGCGGGGATTTGGGAGTACAGATTCTTGATTTCTGGTACTACTGTGCCATACTGTGTGTGCACGTGTGCATGTGTGTGTCACGCTGTGTAGCGCTGACCATGGCTCTCATTCCGTTCCTCCCCAGGCACAGGCTTAGTATTCCTCCGCTTTTCATGTGAGATCACCAGCCAGCGTCACCAACCATGCAAGTGCACTGCGGGAAATCCTCAGGTTCCTTAAACACTGGCCACAGATCCATCCTGGCCATCCAAGGAAAGAAAAGGCACCACTCAGCACCACTGCAAATACTCTAACAGTACTGACAACGCTTCTTTTATTCTTAAAATAACACGTCTCTTCTCCTAATGGTTGAATAAAGAAGCAGTTCAGTTCAGGAATTTTGGAAAAGGGACAAAAATTAAAAAGAACACCAAAAATTAGCAAATTCAAATAGATAGCCACTGTTAATATTTTGGTGATATCTTTGCAGGCCTAGTTTTCACAAAATGTAAATTCACATTAGCATTGAGCATTTACATGACACCATGCACTCCTCGGTCAGGCTCTCATCACCAAAACTGTGATTTAAGTTACATTGTGTTTTACTCTGAATGAATAACTTTACACTCCTCTCCTGCCTTTTTTACTGCTTTACTTATTGCTAGCATAGATACACTTAAGTATAAAGTTTTCCTAGCTCTCGTCGCTGCTTTAAGAACAGGAACCTCAGATGGTAGCTACCGTACAAACAGGTAAGACTTGTTTTAGGGGGTTCAGGGCGCGGACCTGGGAACTTGTGCATGCCAGGTGAGTGATCCACCTGAGTCCTACAGAACCATTTTTGTTTTGCAACCTGCACCCCAAAGGCAGCTGCTCCAATCACACTGCCCCAGCCCACTCGACCACACCATGCTGTTACTATCAGCGTTTTAGTTCTTTGCTGACATTCTTCCTGCCCGCTCTCTACTGTTGTCCTATTATAATCGCATCAAATGACAAGCACAGGTTCCCAGCAGGACCCAGGGCCTCTCACAGCAGAGGGTCTCAGCACTGTGGCATGCTCACCCTGCCTGCAGCACCAGCCTCCCTACCCCTGCAGTGAGCCATCAAGGTGATCCGCCCCTGCAGGGTTCTCCATGCCCCAGTAGCTCTCCCCCAGACAGGAGACAAACAGGGATGAAGATTCCCACAACCTTCCTCATCTGTGAAGGAGGAGGTCAGCTGCGGGGCCTCACCTTGTTCCTGGCAAGCACGTTGGCTCCCGCTTTAACGAGCAGCTTGGCTGACTGGCTGAACCCATGCCAGGCGGCTTCATGCAGGGCTGTATTCCCATCCTGAGTAACACAGGGCAAGAGGACACATTAGCCAGGCTCTGGCTCCTCTCACTAAAGCACCCCGGGTCACTACAGGGTACCTATCAGAACCACAGAGCACAGAAGAGGATCTGAGTGAGCAGTTTCTTCATCCTCCTACAATGGCGGAGGACAGGAGCCATTCTGGACACCTTGTGAAACCCCCTCATGAGGTGCAGCAGGGAAGTACCTGGACCAGTATCAAAGTCTCCTTGGAAGCATGGCATGGAGAAAGGCTCCCGAGCCCCTCCCCACAGCTCTGTCTATAGAAACAACATGCGTGGGGTGTCACACTGTCATTCCTTCCCACTTCCACCATCGCTAAGGTTCCACCATGCTCCTGAGACCAGAAGAAGCCCTGTAAAACATGCCTTATGAAGGGCCAGAAGCCCAGGAGATAGATGATCCTCCAGTTCCATGTCTTCACCAAAAATATTAGTTATTTAAAATAGGGTCTCACTACGTAGCCCTGGCTGGCCTAGAACTTGATGTATAGACGAGGCTGACCTCAAATCCAGAGATCCTGTGAGAGCTAAGATTAAAGGCACACAACCCCATGCCCGTGTCTTTATGTCTCTAGTTTGGCATAAAACTCCCCAGGACTCCAAATGACCAGTCACTGAAGGAACACGGACTGTAAATGAGCTAAAGAAGACTTTTACATACATGGCTTTTAAGTACAAACAGCAAAATGGCTCCCACTTATTTACGCTAGTGAGAAAGGGAATGAAAGATAGGCGGGGAGGAACACATATGTAGCCCCAGGCCTTCATGCTCAGGGCAAGAGCACATTCTCCAGTTAAACACATAGAGAAGTGTTCAAAAGGGCAAAGGCTGGGCACACTGACACTAACAAGAGGGAAGCCTGGGTCCCAGAGACGGTGAGCAGGACAGTGCTGGGGAGGCTAAGGGGCACAAGACTGCGGTGGAGCCATTATTGGAGCAGTTAAAGCAAGAGATGGCAAGACAGAAGGGCTCCGGGCTGTAGGGAAACCACTCCTGACCCAGAGCTCTCGGATGTGCCAAGGAATCTCGTGCCGCACTAATTGTCTGTGCCCTTTTCTGCACATGCGTCACACTTTGATGAAAAGCTATGAGGGGAAAAAGGACACAGAGGCTGTACCGCCCTTAAATACAAGCATCCACATTTTAAGACCTGACAATTTAAAAGCACTGGGTTCTCAAACAATGTATCATTGGGATTCCTGGAAGAAAGAAATGATTCGTCTCAATTTTCTTCAATAGCTAAAAACATTAACTTGTTTGCTCATCTAAGAAACAGCTTCTCAGGGTGCCTCTTCTCCAGCAGACTCCCACAAGTCCTGACTTCTGTTTTCCTTTCTGTACCTGGTCTTAAGCTGTTAGCACAGCACCACAGAACAGGGGGCAGGATTTTTAAACAGACACAGCTGCTGGGATCCCAGACACTCTTTCAGAGAGATCTAGGTTGACATCTCTTGTTGACCAAGTGGTGGGAGAAAGATTACGTCTTGAGAGTAGCAGTGAGGCAAGCTGCTTCCTTGGGTCTGCAGCACCCCTCAGTCCTTGCCATCCCACTCACCTTGTCCTGTCTGTCCAGGGCGCATCCCTCCCGGATAAGCGCTGTGATGACCTCAGTGTTTCCCACCACAGTAGCCCGATGCAAGGCTGTCTGGTCCCCCTACAAGTGACAGAGGCAAGAACAACAAATTTTTCCAGCAGCCCCCACATCCCTCTGGACAGCGGGGTGTCTCCTCTCTCCTCAAGGAGGAGATTGGGTACTTGCAGAAGGGCTTGGACACTAAAGGCAAGACAAGCTTTCGGGTCGGTCCCATCAGCAGAGAATGCACGCAGCAGAGCAATTTAGTGGAGACATGTCTGGAAGCCAGGCTGTGTTACAGTGCAACCATCAACTCCTGCAACCCTCACTCCTCACGAGGTCCTCAGGCCCAGATTACAGAGGACTCACTCTCCAGCGGTGACAGCTGAAGGGCGTCATGCTTTGATGACAGGTGTGTAATTTGTTCACTGATTAGCACTAGCCAAGAGCAACATGGGGGTGTGAGGACTCCAGGACTGCAGGCTTTTATTGCATATTTCTGAAACGCCTCCTGCTGATTTATGCTACATTCTAACCCTTCCTCTGTAACCAGATTCCTGGGCTTTTCTGCTTCAGGCACCAAATCAGAACTTGACTCTTCCCCCTATCTTTGGCAGAGAGGATGAGTAAACAGCCCAGAGGTAAGGCAGCGGCAACAGTCATGAAGGACTATGAGCTCTGCACTTCTAGGAACACAGTTCATCTCTGGCACGCACTGGGGAGTCAAGTTAAGGCAAAGCCAAGTCAAGCCTGAGGTCCAGGCTTGAAAGGGGAGATGGTTGAACACTGTGGATGTTTTCAGGAAGAAATAAAGGGCAAAGAGCCATGGGATCAGGAGAATGTGTTGTGTATAATTGTGTACAGCTTGCAGGGCCTCAGGACCCTCACAGGAAAAGGCAAGGCCGGGGTTCTCTTCCTTTGGGATTCTATGATTCAGCTGGAAAGAAAGATTTACAGTAGTACATTTCCAGAGAGAGCACGGAGGAGCAAGAATATACTTCTCAGGCTGGAGAGATGGCTCACAGGTTAAGGGCACTGACTGTCCTGAGTTCAATTCCCAGAAACCACATGGTGGCTCACAACCATCTATAATGAGATCTGGTGCCCTCTTCTGGCATGCAGGTGTACGTGCAAGCAGAACACTGTATACATAATAAATAAATAAATGAATGAATAAATAGATAGATAGGTAGATAAATAAATAGATAAATATATATACATATATATATGTATATATATATATATGTGTATATATATATATATATATATATATATGAATAAATAAGGAGCACATTCCTGAACTTCTCTGAAACCTAGTCCGAGAGAAGCAGGTGAGACTGTAAGAAACAGCAAAGAGCAACTTCAGGAGCGCTGCACCACTAACTATGGTAGCTTGAATGAAACTCACTGACCTCACTGGGATTCATCATAAAGACACACATTAAAGACATTTACTCCAAGAGGGAAAGTTCTGGAAATATATACTAGCAGTGACTAGTATGCAGGAACCACCAGTACCCAGGAACTGTACCAAAATATAGATAAACTGACATGTTTCATGTTACTCTGTGTGTGTATGTGAGAGAGAGAGAGAGAGAGAGAGCGTGCGTGTGTGCACATGTTATCACAATAAAACCCCCACTCAATCCTAGCCAAAACACACATTTGGCTAGGTATATCAGCATATACCTATAATCCCAACACTCAGGCGGCAAAGGCAGGTGGATTGTGAGGTCAAAGCCAGACTTGGCTGCATAAAATAACCTCAAATCTACTTTTCTTATAAAATAAGATGAAAAGTTTCTCTTCTAAAAATCTATGAGGCTCTTTCCGCAGTCTTGGCGCCTGTGGAGGCCTGCTGGGAACAGGGCTTCTAAGCAGCAAACATGCCTGGAAGGCTGTGGTGCAAAGCCACTTTTGCTGGCTGTAAGCGAGGTCTCTGGAACCAAAGAGAACACACAGCTCTTCTTAAAATTGAAGGTGTTTATGCCTGAGATGAAACTGAATTCTACTTAGGCAAGAGATGTGCTCATGTGCATAAAACAAAAAACAATACAGTGACCCCTGGAGGCAAACCAAACACAACCAGAGTGACCTGGGGAGAAGTAACTCGGGCCCATGGGACCAGTGGCCTGGTTCGTGCCAAATTCCGAAGCAGCCTTCCTGCAAAGGCCACTGGACACAGAATCCGTGTCATGTTGTGCCCTTCCCGGATTTAAACTAATGAAAAGTAAATAAATAAAAGTGGGTTTGTGCTCTTGTATTTTTTTTAACCATTAAAAAACAACAATAATAAAACAAAATCTATATGGGGGAGGCTGCTCTTCCAGAGGACCCAGATTTAAGCCCCAGAGCTCACACGGCAGCTCACAACTATCTGTCACTCCAGTCCCAGAGGATCCAGTGCTCTCTCTGGCCTCCATGGGCACCAGGTATGCATAAGTGCACATACAAGTAGGCCAAATACTCATGCGCATGAAATAATTTTAAAACCACAGTAGTGGTTTTTAGCTTCTTCCTTGTTCTTTTGAATACTGTTAGGCTGCTAGTGGAGAGCTGGTATTAATAGTCCTCCTCAACTCAGAGCCAGTGCACAGTACCAACCACTGAGGCGAGACACTCCCACTCGACTAACAGTGGCAAGATTGGTACGGGAGAGGGGCGGTTTGTGCAGTGGTTTCAATGAGATGGCCCCCATAGGCCCATATGCTTGAATGCTCTTGGTCCTCAGTTGGTGGGATTGCTTGGGAACAGCTGATGACCTTGTCTGATGGGGTGTGTGACTGGGGGTGGGTATTGAGGTTTCGAAAAACCTTCAACTATTCCCAGTGTGCTCTCTCTGCCTCCTGCCTGAGGGTCAAGGGGTGAGCTCTTGGCTGTTCCTGTCATCATAGATCCTGACTCTGAAAACATAAGCCCACTCAAACACTTTCTTTCATAAGCTGCCTTGGTCATGGTGTGTTATCACAGCAAGAGAAAAATAAGATGGGGGAGGGGGTGCCACCTGCCTTTTTGACTAGATTTGATGCCTGCTTCATAGGAGAAAAATCTCATCTGGGACAGTTATCTCATTAGAAACCCGTGGCTAGGGAGGCACAGGCACCAAGTGAAGAAGCTGTGGCTGTTATTTTGCATAGAAAAGATAGCCTCTCACTCAAATTGCTTTCCAAATAAGTGTTTGTGCCTGTAGAACAGTGCTGGTGTCTGCTCTAGTTGGAGAAGCTTCTTTTTGCAGTGGTCACTGGCGACTGCAGAGTCCGTTTTTGAGACTAGGTCTCTCCATGTAGCCCTGGCTGTGCTGGAAGTTGCTATATGGACCACCCTGGCATTGAAATCACAGAGATCCACCTGCCTCTGTCTCCCAAGTACTGGAACTAGTGGAATGCATCACCACCTTTCAGCTTTTTTATATTTAACATACATAACTTCACATGAGGCAAAACTACTACCAACTGCAAGTTTAAGCCAGAAGAAGACACCAGGGGCAGGACTGCCCTTTTCACAAGCTTTCCTCCAAGTTTTCTTGATTTCAGGGACGTGTAGAGTGCTGGGGTCGGAAAGCCCCATTCCCATGATGGCAGCGTGACTGTTTTGCTCTCAACGCTTTCCTTGCCATTGTGAGGTAGATTTGGACTGTTTTTCTTCCTCTTCCCCCTCCCAGTATCTAACTTGGAGAGGACCCTTTCTGGGTGCCTTGTGGTCAAAAGGAGAATGTGGCACAGAAAAGCGGCTGCAGGAGAGGAGCTAGGCCAGGCCTCTGAGAAGGCCTATCCAGGTGGAGAGACGCTCAGTGCCCAAACAAGTCAGATGGGATAATGCCTGAGTCTCAGCTTTTAAAAATCACAGGAGAATTCCCTTTTATCAGATTAGTCATGGCTTTCCCTAAAACAATGATGACAAAGCTTATTCTCGACAAGAAACGTGAGACTGGTCCTGACTCAGTCAGGTTCCCAATAGGGAAGGCCTTTTAATCACCCCACAAATGACAGGCATTCTGCCGAGGACTCCCTTTTCATGTTGCACCGTTACTTATTATGTCTTTGCTCACCTATGGAGCTTCCTCTGAGATGATTTTCCTTTGCAAGACTCCAGCTTGATACAAGCGGCTAAGCCTCGCTTACTGATGGGCTCTTAGCAGAACGTTCCCAAGGGGATTGTCAAGACTCAAGGAGACCTGATGCTTGGGTACAGCCATAGTGAGAAGCTGTCCGGAGCCAGCCGCTCCACTCAGCTGTATTCTTGTCCAAGCAGCCAAGTCCCTTCTAGCTTTCCTCCTCCTGCTGAGAGCCTGGCTCTTTGCTCCCCATGTCTATCACTGCTGTGCAACAACTCTCTGCTCTGCTCTTCGTGGAGGGTCAGACAGCGTTGCTCACAGTGGCCAGGCTGGTTCCAGAAGACTGGTAATGCACTTCCTCCAATCTTGGAAGCTAGCTATCTTAGGTTACCAAGATGAGAAAGACAAAACATATGGACAGAGAGCTGCCTCCAGCCATCTGTGGAACTACTTTCTCTCTAGAACACACAACACAGTTAAACCCAGACCCTCAGTTGATGTACGCTCAGTTACTTGAGAATCAATTCTTAGCTCCTGTAAATGTAAGCCTGTATGTATATTAAGCATGTATATTATAAATTTACTACTAGCTACAAAAAGATACACTTGATCTACTGATGGATCCACACAGCAGCTCCGACAAAAGCCTGTTTGAATAGATCTGTATCAACCAGGGAACTCTGAAACCGAAGAAAATGCCGAAGAAAACCTAGCCCTCTCAACACATTTTCTCAATATTTATTCATCCCTAAATATGTGCCAAGAGTCATGCCCTGTAATTCTCTTGTTATAATGATAAACCTCACCTAGGATAGCTTGCTAAATCAAACTGCAATGGCTCTGTGCCTCCACAGCAAGGTGCTTCCAGCTTGTGAAGGCAGTTAAACTTAGCCCTGGGGTTTCTCAGCGAGGCTGGGGTACCTTAACCATGGGAGCTGAGAGTGCAGCATAGAGGACAGCCCCTAGGCCACCCAGGATCTACTTGTTGAATGATGAATTGAAGAAACAAAGGAAGAGACCCTGCCAGAAACCGTAAGTAGCAGCAGCATTTCAGCTGGTGTTCTGATTTGAAGCGTGTTGACCCGTCAGCAAAGAATATAGACAGCCAGCACTTGATCTCCCTGAAGTATCAGTTGTCTCTCACTGCAGAGCATTTGAACCTGAGCTCTACATCTTTGTTCTGGACGTTTATTTCCATCTCCTATATAGTGAAAAGCACTGGGTGTTCCAAAGCCAAGCTAATGGAAGCCCCCAGGAGCCCAAGCAAATGTGCTGTAAGTAGGTCCTCAACAAGCGTGCAAAGTGGGGTGCTGACCTCTTCTCTCTCAGATCGTCTAGGGTCCTTCCTACCTGTTCTTCTATGCTTTCTCCTATTTCTGTCTTTCTTCGTGCCTTTTACTGTAGCCACAGGGTCCTAGACTATTGCTGGGGTAGGAGTCATGTGATTGCTCATTGACCAATCAGATATGGCATTTGATAGGATTAGCGGGGAAACAAGACAGACTTTGCTCCAGCAGCTGCATCTAAAGAACTGGTTTCCATGGGTTGAAACTCATTATAATCCCACTCCAAGCCACTGGAGATCATTCTTCCTCTAATTCTCAGATATTACCATGCCATAAAGATCAGTATCTGCAGAATATGAAGTCAGAAGTCAATCTTCATAAAGTCAACATTCTTCGTTTCTACCCCCCCCCCCCCCCGATGGGGAGCTTCTAAACTGTCTCTCTTCTTTAATGAGAATAAAAGCAATTTATTTACAGTCTCGGAGATGTCTCAAAGCTGACCATCAATGGGCAGGTAGGCACACAGGAAGCAGCTAAAGAGCACGTCATTCGCCCCCGTTTTCACACTGTTGTTACACGGTCAGTGTTGTTTTGCATTATATGGAGAAGCAAGGTACGCATTGCCTGTGTAAAGCAGGAAAGGATGTAAAAAGACCCCAGTGGCTCAAATAAGAGACGTGTTTTATTGAAATGCAGGGCTTGGCTTTCCTTCCACCCTGGCCCAGTAGTGCTGTGCTGAGGGAATTCTTGCCTGTTCTGTTTCTTCCATACCTGAAACATGAGCATACTGTCTGTCACATAAGACCACAGAGAGCCTCAGATTCAGGACCTGACAGTAGGGGTGTCGGGATGGGGTGGCATGGCTGGTGCTGTGACCTTGCCACAGTGGCAAGCAACAACTTTAATTATAAAAGAGAAGACTAGATTATTCCAACATATTTGTACCAGCAACTCAAGGCCCTGTCTTCCCTTTGATAATTTATTTCTACCCTCTCCCTGTATTTTCCACCTGACCTCTAAGGAGACAATTTGGGTCAGGAATGTTTTGTTGGGTATAGTGTAGAAAAATAAAGTGTGACCCAAGATGAAAATCAACAGCTTATAGCTAAATCAGCATTTTTGAGACTAATGCCCTTGGTGACCTGGTATGCTTCAGATATAACCAGGGATTTATATGAGACTTATATCTATATGCTGCTAACTCTGCCCATGCATAAAACCAGTCCATGTGCCCACCTGCCTGCAGATAGTGTCTCACACATTCAAGGCTCGTCCCAAACTTGCTATGTAGTAAGTCATCTGTGACTGTGTTTGTTAAATTTTAGGCTATTGTACGGAAGTGCAAGGAAAATTTTAGCTAGTGTTGTTAAAGGTGAATTTGGAAGAAGTTTTTACAGAGCCAGACTCTGTAAGATGCTGTTTTACTCACAGCACTTTTATTTCTTAGAATTCTACCACATCATTGAGAGATGAAGGAGGGCCCTGCTCAGTGGGTAAGAGTACTTGCTGCTCTTTCAAGGGGCCTGAGTTTAATTCTCAGTGCCCCCACACGGCAGTCCACAACCAGGGACTGTAACTCCACTTCCAGGGAATCTGATGTCCTCTTCTGGTCTCTGCATGCGCTAGGTGCACAGGTAGACATGCAGGCAAAATGCCCAAAATAAAATAATAAAAAGAATTGAAACACTTTCTGAAAATAGTTCGTATCGCCATAGGGTTTTGTTTGTTTGTTTGTTTGTTTGTTTGTTTCCTAATAGCTCACTGGAGGGCAATTTACACACTCCCTCTTCAGGGACTCCACCTTCTCCAAAGACCCAAGAGAAAACTCTGTGCTGTGCAATCCCACTCGGCCAGTCCCACAGACTCAGGCCTGACAGACAATGCTGGGCAGCCAGTGACAGATCCAAGAGCGGCTGGAGTTGGACTCAGCGAGCTGATGGGAGTCACATCTTGGTAATAGCATAGAACTATAGCTAACTCTTTTCTAGAGGCCTTGTTCTTGCATTCTGAGTCCCTTTTCTCCTTTTCAGTGGGAGTGGAACTTCCAGCTAAATGAAACTAAGAAAAAAATAAGAGTAAGGGCGATGGGGGAGGTGAGCCTCATCTCTTTAGCAGGAAACTTGGTCAATGACACACTCACCCAGTAGGCCTTTCCCACACTCACTTCAGGGTCTGTCCTTTATACTAGGACAGGACACAGGGAAATGTCCTTAGGGACTCTCCTCTCAAATGAGGACCACAACAGAAGAGCCTCTTACAAACTAGTTTGCTGCTGAGAATGGGTCTCCCAGTAGGTGTTCCCAAGAAAGTTTTCGCCAGCACAGGGACCAGACTAGCGGCAAAAGCATTTGGCAAGCCTCTGCTACCCTCCCTCCTCTCACTGCTGACATCTGCACTGAGGGCTGTGGCTGCAGACAGGCTCCCCTGCCAACCTGTCTCAGGAGGGAATGATGCTTTGCTTCTACTTACATCATCCTGCACATCGAGGTCACAGCCAGCCTTCAGCAAAATCTGGACCACAGAGAGATGACCCTTATTGGCGGCAAGGTGCAAGGGGGTCCGGCCATGCTGTTAATACAAAAGAAACAATGGTTTTCAGAACAAGATACCTCCGGGGGGGGAAGGACAGTAGAACAAAGACACAGCAGCTTTTAAGAACACCCCTGCCCCTAACCCCAGCTGTCGCTCTGGCAGGGGATTCTCAGCCAATTTACCCAGAACTCAACTTGCCTTGGTTAACTTTGGCCATTAGCATTGTAATTGAGCAAGGAGGAAAAAAATGCATCCAGCTAGGAGCAGTATTGCACACCTTTAATCCCAGAAGAGTCAGGGGGAATTTCAGAGCTCCAGGCCAGCCAGTGCTACATGGTGGGACCCTGTCTCACAACACTCTCACTACTACTATGAGATATAATGTGTTTAAGAAGCAAAGATTTCCTTTAGTCTTATTAAGCACCGCGTAAGTGGCAAAATGTGGGGTTTCTTGTCCTGTTTTCCTGCTAGTGCCAATACTACGAGGTGGTGAAGTGCAGTGACAATGAATCTGATAGGACCATGGATGCGAGACAAACCCATCAGCTCCTTAAGGTCTAGTCAGTAACTCCATACAGCCAATCAGAGGTGGAAAAGGCTCTCCTTTCTTTTAAAAACAGATTTTAAAATTATGAAATCAGCCATTTAAAAATATAGTACGTTAAGATCCACATATCTGTCAACTAGTTAAAAGAACAAAAATTCAGAGAAACCACTGCTGTTCCTGTGACTGCCTACCAGATCTCTCTGTGGCCCCAAGAATTAACCTTCTTTCAAATTTGGCATATATTTTTTACTTGGCCTTTAATTACACTGTCATTCCCTGCTTGCTGCCAGAGGTAACCTACAAATCAGTGTTTCAAACCTATCTCAGGCATGTTAAGAAACAAAGTATCATTGGGCTTTTCTTATTGTGATTTAGTTTTTGTTGGGTTTTGGTCCAACATTCTATTATGGTGATGTTGCAGCTGTTCTAGTTTCCTGCCTGGCACCAGGTGTTCCCTGTGTACTGCTATGATGGCTAAAATTATGTTTTAAGTTCAAATTGCTGTGCTTACGAGAGCCACAAAACAAAAATGACTAACCTCTAAGCCCCACTTGTCCAAGGACAGGGAGCTTCCTGGGCTGCTGGGGGCTGCTGTTCGTGTAAGATTTTCACTCTGTAAACAAGGTTGGTTGCCCCAGCTACACAGGATGTGCTTGATCACAAGTAGGCGGGGCATAGGCAGGAAGTACATCTGGATGAATGCTTGCCCCTGACTGGACGAAGGTGAAAAGTATGCACAGCCTTGTGGGTTTTGCCGTTATAAGCTTCTGACTAAAGAAAGTTGGTGCCATACCCTGGGAATCCTGGGTAGACCTAGTGAGTACCCCTTGTCCTGGCTAGCATTTAATAAAACTTGCCTCAGATCTGGCATAAAGATTATGGCAGTGATCCTAATCTCACCACAATGGGGGCTTCTCAGCCCTGTGGCTGAGTCACAGAGAATCATTCCCTTTTCTGCAACTGTATGCGTCTGTGGGCTCCCACGGTGCAAGATACCCAAAAGAAAGCATTCTTTGCTGGGTGTACATTAGCTTCTGTCCAGGGAACTGACTCCTACATCTCCAGGCTCTCCCAGAGACATCCTGTTTTCCCTCAGGATTTACTATGAAGAAAACTTCAAGTGACTTTGGCAATCGAGAAAAAGGGGCTCGTGGGGGCCTTGTATCCAGCTTAGCATCTCAGTAAGAACTCTGTTGGGGGTTGGTCTGAATCTTGCATATTGATGATAGTTACTGGTCCTCAAGATCTGGTTATTCCCCTGAACACACCTAGCCTTGTTGTGTAAACCTGCCTAAGACATACTTGATTAGTTGATTAAAAGGTCTATAACCTGGCCAGGGCAGAATGGGGTAGGTGTGGCTAAAGTTCCTGGGCTTTTGAAGACAGGAGAATCTGTCTTCAAAATAGGGAAATACACAGAAAGAGAGGAGGAAGGAGGATGCCAGAATGGGTTACCATGGAGAAGGAACCGTGGGGGGGGGGGGGGGGGGGGGAAAAAAAGGGGGGGGGGGGGGGGGGAAAGGGGGAGGGAAAAAGGAATCTAAGGATAGTGTAGATGGAGAAAACACCAAGATGAAAAATATAAGCAAGTATCTTGGGATTATAGGTGGAAGGTAGACCAGATGAGGATAGTTAAGGCGATGGCATTGGATGGGGGCTGGGAGATAGATGGTGAGGTCATTGAGACAGTGTAGGCAGAAATATCTGCTTGGCCCAAGGTAATAAAGAAATTATAAAATCTATCAGGTGTCTGTGTCTTATTTGATTGTGATAGCAGGTTAAATAATACCGCCACAATAATCCAAGGGCAAATAATAAACATCATATAGTCTAACACTTTTATTTTCTACAACAGAACCCACAACCTTTATTGATCTTCTAGTGGGAAAAGCATCTTTATGATCTGGATAAAGTGCCAGTTTGCCATGATAACCAACCACGGAGAGAAAAACAACAGACAAAAAAAGGATCTTATGCCTAGCCATGAAATCCAATCAAAGCAGTAGAATGAGTCTGCAAAGAAAGAGGCCAGGGCTTGCTTTAAAATTAGAATTCTTAATTAAGGGACAGAGTTACTCCCAAGAATTAGGCTATAAAAAAAAAACTTCACAAAAAAAAAAAAAAAAAAAAAAGGGCAAGGTCAGAGATAAGACAAAGGGTTGACCTTTCTCCATTGGCCATGTGGTAGCTAACCTTGATCTTCTCTGTGAGGTGCCCACCATGTCCCAGATGGAGAAGAGTAGCTGGGTTTTACCTACTGGGCCCAGGCTCAGGCTCCACCTGTCATCACACATTGTTGTGAATGACCTTGTATCTCAACACTGATTAAGCAACCTTTAGAGCATTTTCTAAGGCGTTCTGAATTTCAAGACAGCTTGTCCGTGGAGGTGAGGGACTGTGCTGTGAGATGCTATGTGAGAACAGAGACAACTACAACAAGCGCCTGTAACAACAGGAAAACAGAGCGGGGCAGAGGACAGGGCTGGAGGACTGGCTGGACAGCAGCTCGACCCACAGACAGTCCAAGGAGCCCTGGTGGCCATTCATACCAGCACCTACCTATTCCTGATGGCTAAGGAGGATAGAGGTTTGTCCATGTGAGCACAAGCAGAAGGAAAGCGGCGGTTCTTCTGTGGAGTCCAGTGCTTGCACAAATGTCTGGCCCTACAGCCTGTGCCATAGCCCTGATCCTGGTCTCTGGGCTGGTGAGCCTCATGACAGGATTAGTGTCTTATAGATAGGGCAGGTGATGATAAAGCGCCACATGGGTGCGAGCTCCCTGGCTTGGACTTCACAGTATCCAGAACTGAGAAGCAAAGGTCTGCTGCTTGCAGTCAGTCTACAGCATCTCTCAGACCCTCGAATGGACTAAGATGGGCTCAAGTCAGAACACAAACGAGTGCAACTAGAAACTACAAAAAACACAGTGTCCCTAGGCTACAGACATGTCCAAACCCAAAGTCATCAGAGTCTTCCTGTTTAGAAGTAAAAGGCTAGGGCCATTGGAGACAGATGGGTATCAGTCAGATTTAACACTGCTTGGTGATTTTGTGTAGGACAATTACCTAAGCCTGCTTTCTCATCTATCAAACAGGAACGGACTCCACACGCACCCACACTTGAGATAAGAATGAAGTACAATCTTCCATCTAGTGTGGGTTTGCCTGCTGCTGTCTGTCAGCCTCGAAGCTAAGGAAACACCCCACTGCTGTCCCTCCCTGACAGACATCCCTACCCTTCATCACAGCAAAGAGCGGGAAGCTGTCATATGGATCTGATGAAGAGACAGGCTCTAGTTTTCAAGGCTCCTATTTGACAGTCCCTCCTTGCATGTTTGCTTCCATTTTGGAATTTGCTCTGACATACCCACTTTCTGCTTCTGCTTACAAAGTCTTTCTTTCCAGGAACACCCTTCTCCAAACTCCTCCTCTCTCATTCCCAAGACATGACCCCAGCTACCTCCACATTCATGGCATTTGGCATCCTGTTAGCAAGCCACAGAATGCCCTGGGACCATCTGGGGTATGACCTCCTAAAAGAACCTTCTATGAGTGTTGGAGATCAGTCTATGCTAATTACTGGCCCTCAAGATTTGGTTACTGCTTGCTGCATACCCCCATCCTTGTTTGTGTAACCTGCCTAAAACATTACACCTGATTGGTTCATTAAATGGCCTATACCTGGGCAGGGCGGAATAGAGCCTATAGGCATGGCTAAGGTTCCTAGGCTTTTGAGGACCAGAGAATCACAGGAAATAGATGGACAGGAAGAGAGAAAGGAGGAGGACACCACCATGGTTTAGCATGGAGAAAAAAACCATGTGGGACTAGAAAAAAAGACTCCAATGATGGCATGGAAAGGCCCAGACAAAGAATAAAAGCAAGTACCATGGGATTTTGGATGAAAGGTAATCCAGTTGAGGGGGATTAAGGTGGATGACATTGGATGGGGTCTGGGAGATGGATGATGAGGATATTGAGACAGTATAAGTGAAACATCTGCCTGGTCCAAGGTAAGTAAGGCAATTATAAATCTAACAGATGTCTGTGTCTTATTATTTGTGATAGTGGGTTAAATAACACCATTCTAATAATCATAGGGCAATAATAATAAACATTATATAGTCCAACACTCTTTTTTATTTACTCTTAACACATGAGCAATGAATGTGGTTGGCACTGGGTGGTAGAAAAGCCATATGCAAGAGGCCCAGGGCTCCTGGAGTACAGGGACCCTGGAGCAAATTCCATGATACTGGTGTCTTAGTTAGGATTTTATTGCTGAAGAGACATCATGACCATGGCATCTCTTGTGAAAGAAAACATTTAATTGGGGCTGGCTTACAGTTCAGAGGTTCAGTGCAATATTGTCATGGCAAGAAAGCATGGTAGCATGCAGGCAGACATGGTTCTGGAGAGGTAGCTGCAAATTGTACATCTGGATCTGCCAGCTGCAGGGAGTGACTATCAGCCACTAGACCCAGCTTGAC